CCCAGTTGCCGTGAAAAACAGTGTGTTCTTGATTGACAGAGCTTGTTAAAGGCTTTTATTTTTCCAATCAGCAAAGTAATTATAAGGGCAGCCTCTTGGGTTCCCCCCACCATGTAATCTGGTCACAGTGGCTAGATCACCCCCTGATAGGAGAGGGATTGCCCAACTGCCTCTGATACGCCGGCTATAAGCTCATCCTGCTGTCTTCATTAATGAAAACGTCCCAAATGTTACAGAACATATTCCTGCAGTCATTTATGTCTACATAGGCTTTCAATTTCTGTGCAGCAAAGCGCCTAACAAGCTACAGGAGGGAGGGAAATAATGTAAACAAAGAAAATGATAAACCCAGAGGTAACTTAATCATATTTACAAACACTGCTTGACAGCGATGTCATATCGGGTTGAATACCAATTACCATGACAAAATATGTCAGGTATAAAAACAAATGTCAGGCTGTCAGTGCTACGTTTTTCCTTTTTCAAAATAAGGACACAATTGACATTGTTACCTTACATGACCCACCACTGAAGAGATATTTTCAAGGGTTATAATGTAATTATTGAACTATTGCTTTTTCAATCTCTACATTTTGTGTATAATTCTGAGGATATGCTACCAGACCTTTATATGTAACTTGTCCTGAGTTAACCCTGATCCAGCATGTTTGAATACTGTAGCTTCAACAAAACCTTTATCCAGCATCAGACATTCATGTTTGAATCCCTTCAAAGTCCCTTTAGAATCACCAAGTTTAACAAAAAAAAACTCCTTAAAATACTCAGTAATTTCATCATACAGAGTTCCTGAACACTTATTCATCTATATTAATCCTGCCGATAGTTTGGTGAAAAACATCTATACCCTGCAACCCATAGAGCTGTCCCCAGATCAGATCTTCACTATGAATATTGTTAACAATACACTGAACAAAAATATAAACGCAACACTTTTGTTTTTGCTCCCATTTTTGATAAGCGGAAATCAAAGATCTAAGACATTTTCTACAAAAGGCCTATTTCTCTCATATTGTTCACAAATGTGTCTAAACCTGTGTTAGTGAGCACTTCTCTTTTGCCGAGATAATCTATCCACCTCAAAGGTGTGGCATATCAAGATGCTGATAGCATGATGATCGCACAGGTATGCCTTAGGCTGGTCCCAATAAAAGGCCACTCTAAAATGTGGAATTTTATCACCACAGATGTCACAAGTTTTGAGGGAGCATGCAATTGGCAAGCTGACTGCAGGAATGTCCACCAGAGCTGTTGTCCATGAATTTAATGTTAATTTCTCTACCATAAGCTGTCTCCAAATGCGTTCCAACTGGCCACACAACCACAGACCACGTGGTACCACACCAGCCAAGGACCTCCACATCCAGCATCTTCACCTGCAAGATCGTCTGAGACCGGCCAACCGGACAGCTGATGCACAATCGGTTTGCATAACCGAATAATGTCTGGATAAACTGTCAGAAACCGTCTCTGGGAAGCCCATCTGTAAGCTGATCGTCCTCACCGGGGTCTTGACCTGGCTGCAGGTCGTCCTCGTAACCGACTCCGGTGGGCAAATGCTCACCTACGATGGCATCTGGCATTTTGGAGAGGTGTTCTCTTCTCGGTGAATTCCAGTTTTCACTGTGCAGGGCAGATGACTGACAGTGTCTATGGCGTCATGTGGGTCAGCTGTTTGTCCAGCAACTTCACACAGCCAACCTCCAGGACAAAGACATTCTTATGTACTTCAGGGATGATAGTATGGATGCAGATTTAGTCTTTTTTGTGCAGTTAATTGTATTTTTAGGGACATTTCATATCCATAAAAAGAAATGGTCTGACTCCAAACGAAATGTTGTATATTTCTATCAAGAATGTAAACAATATATTAGCACTATTAAAAACATTAGGAATAAAAAGGCAATCAAAACTAATTTGATATTTATAAAATATTCGATCTGAAGTATCAAAATGTATTTTTCTTTCCTTTTTTCTTTCTTTACTGTATGTAATGTCTTGTTGCTTTGTATGTCTGCCCCTGGACTTTGTTGTATGTAAAATGTATGATGTTCATGTGTGATGTTGAATAGATGAATACACAATA